TTCTCCCGACATCTTTCTTTTCTTCATTGATATATTTGCCATGGCTCTAGCTTGTTTAGTTCGCCTGTTGTGTCGGGTTGAGTTTAACGTGTGTTCGTGGTGGTCGACACGAAAATGGAAAAAAACGATAAATTTCGCGATAAAGTTTTGCTCCAAATTTGGCGAAAAAGCTTTGGAAGCGTACGCTAAAATTGTAAAAGTGCATGGACGTGAAAGCGAGGAAGACGCATAGAGCTCGCATGAGCAATTTGAAAGTGAAAACGATGATAATTGCCTTTTTTGATGGCCGCGAAATCTTCCACAAAGAATTTCTTCCACCGAGGCAAACCGTAAATAAAGTCTACTCTCGCAAAGTACTCGACAGATTGCGAAACGAAGTCAACAGGTTTCGCCCAGAGATCGCTCCCCACACCGTCCTCAGCGTGACCCAGTATTTTTCCTCTAAAGGGATCGCCGTGTTGCAACAACCGCCTTATTCGGCCGATATGTCACCCTGTGACTTTTTTGTTCCCTTGAATAAAATTGGTGGTCAAAGGAACCCATTTTAGTCGATTGAGGACATCCAGGCGTCCGTGACGAGGGTACTTGCAGACATTCCAGTCAAAGCGTTCCAGAAATGTTACGAAGCATGGAAAACGTGCTGGGATCGTTGTATAGCTGCGCAAGGAGACTTATTTGAAGGGGCTGGTAGAGTTGTAGAAAAAGTTTGAAATTTACGGTTTGAATGAAATCAGTCTCATTACTTAATTGTCACACCTCGTCCGGTCCAGCTCACACAACAGCTGAAGCAAACTGACAATTCGCAACGCCGTATAGACGTCGATTGGGTGATTAAACAACAAGCTGTAGACGGTGGTTTTCCGAACAAAGTTTTCTTCATCGACGAGCAACGTTTCTCATACAATTGAAGAGTAGTCATTGCGTTTAAAAAACTTTCTGCCAGGTGAGCTCTTTCGTGATTGGACTTTATTTCCTTGAAACCGACAACGGCGAGAATGTAAAGACTCGAAGCATTATGGGGATATAAGATCTGACTTTTTTTGATTTACAATTGTAGAACACGACTTGCGAAATATATCGTTTCAACAAGATGGTGCCACATTGCACACAACACGAGCGATTATGGCTTTATTGCGAGAGAAATTTTCCGACTGCGTAATCTCTCGTCTTGGCGATGTCAATTGGTCACCCGGATCGTGCGATTCCGCAACGTCGCACTTTTTTTGTGGGGTAACGCAAAGGACCATGTTTATGCGTATAAACTTTTAACTCTTGAGCACTTAAAAACCAACATTCGTCAAGTTTTTGCTAAAACACCGTCCAATATTTAACAAGAAATGGTCGAAAATTATCTCAAATGGATCGAAGTTTGCGAAAATTCGGGTGGGAGTCATTGAAGGGGTCCACATGTAACGTCAAGGCTCAAACTGTATAATAAAAATGGAATTTCAAGAAAAAAGTTATTTTAAATACTCTTTCGAACCGCAAAATGGATAACTCTGTGTTAGTTTGGATTTCTGCTTCTTTTCTAAGCTTTTGTGCCATATTATAGAAGTAGAATTGAAACTTTAACTTTCTCCGTACTAATTTAAAATAGTTTAAAATAGATGCAAAATCTCCAAATTTATATTTTAGACTATTTTACCTTGTGAATTCAAGAAAATCTAAAAAAAGTACACAAAGTTGATTGTCTGTGCTGTGGCTCAGCAGCAATTAGTTACTAATCCATTTGGTTTGTCTGACCCATTTAACAGTCTACATACACATACATACATATATACTCCACAATAAACCAATATAAAAAGTTTGCTCGCGTGAGTGCGGCCAGCCACAATTTAAAAAAAAGAAAAAGATTAATAAAAGTAGATGTAAGACTGCGGAAGGTTTGATAAAGCACAAAAATTAAACACGAGAATATTTCTATTTTGTTTAACAATTTTTTTTATAATTCTAGCATTTTAGTTCTAACTGTGTCTTTCTTGTACAGCCAACTATACCGAATGTATGGGGTTTGTTCATCAAGGCAAATTTACACACGTTGGTAGCAAGAATACAAAAACGAAAAGCCTACATGTTTTGTTTGTGTAATCATAGTTACGAAAAGTCAAAAACGAAATTCGTTCAATGTATTTTGTTGGTGCAAGAATAAGTTCGTAATGGCAAAACCTATTTCGCCTTGTGTCGAACTCTCTGTCCGTATACATTGACTTGGGCGAAAATGGTGGAATCTTACACCAATCTTGATAGAAGCCCCTACTAAAACTTTTAGAAACATTTTCTTACAAAAATTTAAAACTAACGAAATCGACAAAAAAAGGGTCAGAATAAAAATAGGTTTTAAAAATAATATGATTGGCGCGGCAGGACCAACTTTTTGGCCTAAACTCATATTTTACAAATCACTCTTCAATGTCTCACATTTTAAACAAAATTCAAAAAAGAAATGAGCTTTGATTAACTGTAACACATTGGCCGAAGATACTGGTCCTGACACATGGAGTGCGCTTGAATTGGCCAAATTCCACGCGTCTCCAGTTATTAGTAACCCTTCAGGAACTTTACTTTTCGTCTCTTCGCATCACAGAGAAACAAAAAAAAAGTATTATAAGGACATCAAAATACTGCATATGATTGTAGAGATACCGTTAATTCAAAACTCAGTATCCATCCAAATGATGTGGTAATAACAGAAAACAAAAAAAAAAATACACAAAATTATTTTGAATGAGCGGCCATCGTAAGGTTATCAAAAGAACGTTTTGGCTGCTAACAGAAAGTTTTGTTCAAAGTGCCGCGTTTGCTTACTGTTAACCAAAAAGAAGAACGAACCGTAACAATTGGAATTTTTTGGCTTGGATGAAACATGAAACCATTACTTCATTTCGGAATCAAACTTCTTCCCAATTCCAATTGCTGTCACAAGCATTGTAATCAGCAGATTTAAATCCCAGTAACTACTGTCTATCCGTCGCACAGAAAAATTTGTCTTCAGAATGAAGAAATTATCGCTGAAACTGAGTTCTGTTCTGGGACAAAAGATTCATTCTGCAGGAATGGAATTGAGAGGAATGGGTTCCATTGGTTTGATTGCGTGGGTGATTCTTGTTGTAGATTATGTTAGTGAATAATGATAGTGAAGTGAAGAACAAAGATGCGTTTTTTTTGGGGGGTCAGAACTTTTTGTACTCAATGATAATCTGAAAAAATGACAGACCTTTAAGAGAAATGTATGCACAATTCACAAGATTTCTTTCCTTGATGTTTATATCTTATAATACGACATCCGAAACGATAATTTTCATCACCGCTTTCACCGCTTAAATTATAGAAATTAATATAAAATTCATTTTTACCAAAAAACTAAAACAATTTTCAATTTTTTGTTCAGTATTGGAATTTCAACCAGAATTTTCCCCCTTTAAATTCACTGAAATGATAATGGTAATGAAAATTACAGTCTGGCATCGGTACCATACGAATTTGGTCTTCCTCACTTACTTCATTTAGCTTTTTGTTTTTCTCTTCTTTTCGCTGATGTGTGATGATATGTCGTTTATGGGCGGAAACTGGCAATATATATTTATGTTGTTACCATTTTACGGTAAGTATTTCGCTTTGAATCTCTAACTGGCGAAGACCTTTCTCTTCACAGACTAAAAGTGGTGTTGATTTAAGAAATTTCGAGTCATTTAAAAATTGAATTTCTTTTCTTTAAACTATATTATTTTGTGCTTTTATATTTGACTATACCCTATACCCTAAATGTATATTTATTTTGATCTGATGTACATATACCAGTAACAGGTGGAGAAGAGATACACCCAACAAAATGGTCAACGATTCATCAAAATGACTCAAACTCAGTTAAATTGACCATGTCCGTCCGTCTGTCTGTCTGTTCATCTGTTTGTATGCAAAATTGTCAGTTTTTGATATATTTAAACCGCACTTGGTAAACAAATGCTCTGTAATATTTGAACGATCGTTTGTCGAAACCGGCCAGATCGGATCACTATTATATATATATAGACCGGTTCCTCAGTTTTGAGAATTTGGGTCCAAACTGCGCCGTCTTAGAGCGGAAATTATCGAAATCGGCGTACTATACCACATAACCCTGAACAGCCAATTTGTTTAAATTCAAAGTTTTGTATCAAAAACAGAATCTAAGAGCATTAAGTTTTGTATTCTGCACACATAAATTCGAATAAATATTAGTATTGAAAATTAAAGAAGTCGAATTTTGCATTTTACGAAAAATTTCGATAATTTCATGAAGGGTATGAAGACTTTGGCATGACCGAAGGTACTTACTGTCTTCGTCTTTCTTGTTTTTGTTTTGATTTATTTCTTTGATTTGTGTTATTGTTACAGCGGATGGCGATGGTGATGATTGAATGGTTTTATAGAAATCAGCGCCGACCAATACCAGCAACAACAAACAACAAACAACAAAACAATGTAATTATATGTGCGTAATAAAAATAATAGAATCTTTGGGGCATTACGTACACACGGTTACGAGTTGATAAAATATCGAGCATTGAGCGGGTCGCAGTTATTCAGGAAGCAACTCTGAACGAATGATGAACTGCGTCGGCGGGCAGTTTTCGGACAAAGCAAGACCGTTAGTGAAAGAAAAAAACCTGTAAATAAAAGTGTTGAAAATTTTAATGCAAGGAAACTAATTTACAAAAAAAAAAGAAACGCGTACGGTTAAATTTACGAATATAAGAAAAAAAATGCTAAAGTTGCTTTTGCTTATTTTAATTTCGCTTGCACCGAAACTCGCATTGCCAGGCCGAGTACAATCGAACTATGACAAATACAATACAATCAGTGGCGATCCTGCGACATCGACAACTTATACAACAGCCTCTGTTGTCTCGTCCTCACCCACCTACACATCTGCCACATCTGCCACATCTTCTTGGCAACCCTCAACAACATTCGTCGCACAACAGCAGCAACAACAACGACATGTGGGGGCACCCACAGCAATGGCGCACGATTGGTATATCCTTCAAGCAGCCACAAATGCTGCTGCGGTTGCTGAGACTGCTGCCGCTGAGATACAGGCCACATATTCGGCTAATCAACAGCAAGAACAACAACAACAACAACAACAACAACAACGTTATTGGCACAAAGCAATACCACCATTCAATATATACCAAACCGCGCAAATAGCAACAATGGAGCAACAACGCCAACAACAACAACTTCCGTTAACTTATTACGCTTACAATGGGAGTAGCGACAGCGGAAATTACAATGCACCGACACAGGATATGCGCGTCATGGAACCATATGTCTTGCCGATAAGTAATCGAGGAGGCGCGGTAATGCCCTCCGGTGGAATGCATAAGAAGCAACAAGCGATTGACAAAAGCAATAGGAGCAACAAAAACAACAACAGCAACATAAGTAAGCGCAATACCGACGCGAGTATTGTCAACAACCACATTAACCGAGAAAATATCAACACTTATAATAACAACAACAGCAACAGCAGCCATATTCAGAGTCAGAATCAACACAATAAGCAGTACATTGAACACACAACAGCAACAACAAGCAATGTAAACAATGCCAACAGTATTGTTGTGCAACCACAACACGCAACCTTGTTTGGCTGGCAGGATAATGAAAGCAAAATCATTGCTGCTCTAAGGGGTGTGGATAATGCCAAAGGACAAAATGCCAACGACAAAAGTGATGACGAAAAACAACGTACCAATGCAGAGCGTGATGCGACGGTGGCAGTCAGCAGTGTAGTAAATGGCATGAATAATCTGGAGGATGCACAATTCAGTGAAGTTTTGTTGCCGTTAAGAAATGTATTGGATAAAGTAACACAATTTTGTGTCACATCGAAGCACATCATCAGCGAGGATGAAGGAGGTAATATTGGAAATTCAATAATATGGAAGTATAAATAGCGATCTATCGAAAAAGTTAGTGAATATAGCGCAAAAAAATAACATTTGCTGGTATTTTCCAGTGTTGTTGTCAGGGCAGAGAGTTTTAACATTTTTTTTTGGCTAAAACGAGAAGCGATAGATTTAAAACAGAAGGATCCTTACTTATTGATTGACCTATGATCTCCACAGCCCTTCCTCACTGCAGCTCCCCAATAGGATACTTTCTATAACCATGAACATCATTTGAATATACTTGCATATATATTAAATGTCATAGACTCATAGTCGCCTATCCAGGACAAGGAGAAGTTAAGTAAAAAAAAAAAACATTTAAACAAACAATATAAGTTTGCTCCCAAAAGCTTAACCACTTAGCTGTGCTTAATAAGAAACAAACAATTATGGGTTGAAAGCCTGGCAAGAAAAATGTCCGAACTTATAAAAAAATTGCTTTTAAACCAATTTTTTTAATAGCGTTTCCCCCTCGGCAGTAAATGCCAGTCCCTTGGAATATACATTTCACTTGTACCTCATAAAAACCCATCAGGGTTTCGGTGACGATTTTACTAATTAGCAGAAGCACGGCCGGTAATCGCATCAGGTCAAAGTAATCGGCTAATCGTTTCGAAAAATTTCGAAAATTTTATAAAAAAAAATTAAAAAAAAAGTAACTACTCGTATCAGCACAGCACACACGTTTCTATGGCTAGGAGCCCATTTTGTTAAATTTTCATTCTAATTTATTGCCCAAAAAGTAATTGCGGATTTTTTAAAAGAAAGTAAATGCATTTTTAATAAAACTTAGAATGAACTTTAATCAAATATATAATTGC